TCGAGCTGACCCATTCGTGCTACAACCACAATATAGCTGCAAGGTAGCTCTACCACGTAAAAACGAAGTTAGCAGGATCATTCCTCTTTTAGTCAATTAGTTAAGCTAAAATATAACATGAAAAAAATAAAACATTTACAATCAAAGATTTTTTTCGTATAATGACGAATTCTTCTTTTATTATACTTATTACAAATATGTTTAATGTTAAAACGGAGATATTAAACTTACAAAATGTATTTATATTTTAAATATATACAAAACTTATGCTGTATTACCAGTTACAATACATTGTGTCAATGTATATCGTTTAAAACATAAAACCTGTGCGATTGGGTACATTAAGGTACAAAAGATCGTGATGTACAGATTTATTTAAAAAATTCAAATGAAAAAGAATTTAAGTTGAAATTAATACATCTATATACAAATAGAGAGGTTGAATTTCTTATAATTGATTGTTTCATTAACACAGTTATATACATCCATCATATTATGTTATTTGTGTATTTTCAAGTTTCTTAAATGAAAGGCATAAGAATGACTTTACAAATTACATTTCAACTCCTGTAATATTTTTCGTAAGGTTTACATAAGCGTGAAAAACACTTTTTTATAGAGTTGCGTTGTTAATGCATTATATCAATTCTTGTAATTTATTTAAGTATTTTTATATAGCTTAATATTAACATTACTGTTGATTTTTACAAACACAATGTTCATAACGCTACTGTTTTCGCAAACGCTAACCGTGATCGTCACCTGTGAAGTCAACTTAACAAAAACAAGTGCACACACTCATGTTATAATGAGTGACAGCTGACGGTGCCGACAAAAAACCATGGGAGTCGCTCAACATTAAACGAAATCCGGTTCCAAAGGACCAAATTTTAACCGTTCATTGCATTTTGAACGCTATATATAATAATTAAAGTTTTAAATTAAATTGTTTCTTTTTTAGAAACATAAGTTTCATGGATACAGAATGAACTTGAAAGCACGGAATTAGTTGCTGGTTTATAAGAGAGCAATGGCAGTTATAACGTCATCATTACGTGTTTTTTTTTTCTATGTTTTATCCACCATTTATATCACCGATTACATCATTTTAGTAGGAATCCTACTGCAAATCAGTTTAAGACTCTATTAAATTTTTAGAACTATACAAGTCCGTTGTCACTTTGACTTATTGATTTTTGAGTCTTTTTTATTTCCGATTCTGTTGATCTTGTTTATCAAAACAAACTCTTTTTCTCTAGGAACTATAGTCTTCAGAAGTGACGCATCTGCATTCTGATTCTTGATTGAGGGTGATAGGCCACATAATTTGCTTTTCATCAAGTAACCTGTTAGATCGTGTGTAATACTCATATAAAAACGAAAACCCAACTAAAGTACATATCATAGCCCGATGAGAAACGGTAAGCCATAAGGGCGCACGAATATTATTGTTAATATATTCAATTTGTACTCGCAAACCATATCAAAGAACTCTTTGGGAATTCAAGCACACAGTTACGGAACCGAATGGCCTTCAATTCTAATTTACGTTGAATAAATGAAGACTGAGTGCCATTTCGCTTGACAAAAGCAGTCGTCGTGATGCGGAATCTGAAAGCAAAGTAAACAGTATGCTAATTTTATGCCATCTCGTAAGTTTATTAGAGTGCAAATAGAGAAGCTAGATCACTAAATGAGATTTATGTCAAATATTAAATTGCATGATCTTTACAATGCATTGAGAGCACTGGAATCTTGTTATATAATTTTGGAACCATTAAAATCGATTTCTAGTGAAATATTTCTAACTTCACTTGAACTTTCAATCCATATTTGACTTTAAGGAAGTAAGTACATTAGTTGAAAGTTTTATTCTTATTTTAGACTACATTTACTCGTTCACATTACTTATTAATTATGAAGTAATTAATATATAATGTGAACTAGCAATTGCGCCCAGGAATCCTTTAACCTACCGTTTTTAACCGACTTCAAAAAGAGGAGGTTCTCAATTCGAGTGTATGTTTGTTTTTGTAAGTATGTATGTTACGTGATATCTTCGCAGATTGTGAACCAATTTTGATGATTATTTTTTTATTAAATAGGCTATACTCTTAGGTCCCATAAAATTTGGAGAAAAAAATTTCACCCCTACGGGAAACAAAGAAATAACTTTTTTTTAGCAATTTGAAGTCGGTTTTTACTATTTTTTAAAAGTAACAATTATTTATTATTTTACTTTACATTTTAAAATTATGACTAAATAATATGAAATCGATCCAAACCTATTCTTATTTCGGACTATTTCTACATACTGCCCATTTAATATATCCTTCCAAGAGTTTAATATTGTGCCGTTCCCCTTAAGCAATAAATATTCAAAGCACGCCGTTATGCAGTCTGAAGCTGAACGCAGATGTTTCGCAATCAGCGATGTTACTGCCCATCAGACACCCTCGTCTAGACGGCCCTCAGACAATCGTGCCTGCAACAAGGATATGTACCTTTTACGACTCGGTTACTGTACTGATTAAAAGAGCCGTGGTAGCTTAGGTTAAACGCTCACCGTAATTTTTGCAGTACGCGATCAACCCGGGTTCGATCTCCGCCAGCAACAATAAAATTGTTAATTGTAACTGACTTACCTGTATTTTTTATAGGATTGGGTGACAAACTTACACACAGTCCACCTGATGGTAAGTGGTTGCTATGACTCATATCTATCTATGCAGATGCGTTGTCACCCGTGAGGACCAAGATGGAATGCCTCTTTTCCAGTAAAAAGGGTCTCCGGTTCTCTATACTCACCATACGAAATACAGCAGTATTAAGCTGCTATTTTACGCTGGTACTCTGTGATAGCGTGGTCCTTCGCCTTTCGAGCCGACCCATTCGTGCTACAACTATACTACTAATATAGTTGCAGTATGGCTCTACCACGTATAGACGTTTTTTTTTTATAGGATAAGGGTGACAAACGAGCACACAGTCCACCTGATGGTAAGTGGTTGGTGCGGCCCATAGACATCTATATCTATCCTCTATTACAAATCAAAATGTAGATGTGTTGTCACCCGTGACGACTAAGTTGGAATGCCTCATTTCCAGTAAAAAGGGCCTCCTGCACTCACCAAGCGAAACGCAGAGGTCAACCTCTAATTCACGCTGGTTTTCTGTGAGGTCATGGTACCACCCCGGTTCGAGCCGGCCCATCCATGCGACAGCAAAAGCTGCCGCGTGGCTCTACCACGTGTTCGGCGGTGAAAAAAAAAATTTAAATGTGTCTATTAAGCATTATATTTGACTGTGTGCTCGTTTGTCACGCTTGTTCTAATAAAAAAACGCAGGTTTTTTATTAGTTTTATTTTGTCTAAAGTATAAAAATATTTTAAAAACATGCCAAATCCGCAAACTCAAAATGAAACAGCGTGGTGGACTAATTGTTCCATCGTCTGAAATAAAAGAATGGAGCCATATTTCTTAGGTTTCTTTGCTTTTACTTTTTGCGATGCATATAATAAATAAGTGCGTTTTTTTCTATGCACGTAGCGTCCATTCCCGATACGAGAACTGAGAGAACTGATTGACAAATGGTAGCCACTGGCTACTTTATTTGACAACCGAAGGTATCTAGAGGTAACCATACTTACGTAGCGGGCGACGTCGCCATGCCTCGCCTCTTATTGTTGCATCACCCTCTCAAAAATGAGAACAGACCTGTGCCCTGTTCCTTCAGTTCAAGACTTTATTTTTAATTGTACTTACTATATTTCCCAGAGATAGATATTAAAAAAAAAATCTTTTGTCGTCAGCTTCAGTTTCCTCCTAGGCAGAAAAAGAGCTCTACGTTCTTCTTTCTTCTTTATCGGCTCTTAAAAGGTCGCTGCTGGATATGGTTATGCCCCTTTCCAAGAAGCACCTACTATAATCAATACGGCATTCGTTAGCAGGTGGATGAAGGTACAGTACCAGACGTCACGCTCTTTTGACGCTGCTGTCTATCGCCAGTCCGGGTATTTTTCGTCTGGCGTAAACGAGATGGTTATACTGGCATTTATCGACAATAATGTCCTTCATACCTTTTGCACAGGGCAGGGTTATAGTGCCAGAGTGTAAGCGCAACAAGAGCGCTTCACTCGCACAGTCTGGTAGGACGGCAAACCGACGCGACCGGAGAGACACGGGGGTGAAACGACGCCAACTTCGTGACTCCGGGCTCCTACTGAGAATTACTTGATAGAAAAACTCAATAACTGATTTTTGCTTAGACCCAGGATTCTAACCTGGAACCTAATGAGCGCGTTTATAACCAACCAAACAACCCAACGACGCAGGAATTGACAGTATGATTTTGGTGGCATCCCCTTTAATATTCTCTTACGACACCGACGGCACGAAGTTTTTTTTATAGTATAAGGTGACAAACGAGCACACAGTCCACCTGATGGTAAGTGGTTGCTGTGGCCCATAGACATCAACATTTATCCTCGTTTGCGAATTAAAAATGCAGATGCGTTGTCACCCGTGAGGACTAACATAGAATGCCTCGTTTCCAGTAAAAAGGGTCTCCGGTTCTCTACACTCACCATACGAAACACAGCAGCGTTAAGCTGCTATTTTACGCTGGTATTCTGTGAGAGCGTGGTCCTTCCCCGGTCGAGCCGACCCATTCGTGCTACAACTATACTACTAATATAGCTGCAGCATGGCTCTACCACGTAAACGAAGTGGGGTGATTGATACCCTTATACCGCTACCATACAGCAGTTAAATACCACCTAGTAAAATTAACTATTAATTACAATCATTAATGAGTACAGCAGTTAAAATCAAATAGTAAAATTAAGTATTAATTACTATCATTAATGTGTACAGAATTTAATACCACTTAATAAAATTCATTTTTAATTACAATAATTAGTGAGTACAGCAGTTAAAACTACCCAGTAAAATTAATTATTAATTACAATAAGTAGTTAAGTTGGTTATGATTATTACAGACGACGGCGCTCGCGATCCCGATCTTCTTCTCGCAACCATACAACGGACGACGATTGCTCCTCCCCGAGAACCATCCTCATGTCAGACGAGGAGGCGTTGCATCAGCTCTATGGCGAAATCACCACAGTCCGAGACGGCGCCGTCACACACCAGTGCGTACAGACCAACTTGGCTGACGTCATCTGCGGGGGTAAGTGGAAACATTTATGCATTTTCCCTATATTTTTCTTAACCACTAAGGTGCCGCGGCGATAGCCACTTCATTCGCCTAGTAATAGGGCCGGTCCTGTATACAGAGCTTATCAATACGGAATTTCTTAAGCGCATTACATCACAATTAAACAGATTCTAAGGATCCGAATTGTAATTCATTTTTAACCGACTTCAAAAAGGAGGTGGTTCTCAATTCGAGTGTATGTTTATTTTTTGTATGTGATGATTCTTTTTTTATTAAATTGTATAAAATAGGATACTTCAAGGGTAGTCCCGTATAAATTTGGAGATAAAATTCAACCCCAAAGGGTAGCAAATAAATCACTTCATTTTTAGCAATTTGAAGTCGGTTTATACTTTTTGTAAAATTATAATATTTTTTTTTTCTTTAAAAAACTGTACTCTGACAATACTTGTTCTCCACTTTCGAGGTTGCATTTTACATAAATAAATTGCACATGGACAAACATCGAGACCTTTAAATCACATGGATCTAGACAAATATACGTATTAGAGTTATGGAACGACGAGCACACAATTATAATCGAGCGTAATATAGCAGTAAATGCTACTGTGTTCTGTACGATGACTGTAGAGGACCCTTTTAAATGGAAACGAGACGTTCCATCTTAGTCCTCACGGGTGACAACTCATGTGCATTTTGATTATTAATCTAGGATAGATATAGACTTTTTTATAGAATAATTGTGACAAACGATCACTCAGTTCACCTGATGGTAAGTGGATGCTGTGGTCCATAGACATCTACATTCCTCCACGATTAAGAATCAAAATGCTACCCCGGAGGACCAATATAGAATGCCTCGTTTCCAGTAAAAAAGGGTCTCCGGTTCTATACACTCACCATAAGAAACACAGCAGCATTATGCTGCTATTTTACGATAGTATTTTCTGAGAGCGTGGCCCTTCCCCGGTCGAGCTGACCCATTCGTGCTACAACTATAATATAGCTATAGCGTGGCTCAACCACATATAAACTCTGTTGAAAAAACTGTGTATTCGTTTGTCGTTGATATTCTATAAAAACACTGTAAAAAACAAAATGTTTGAAATGTCACACTTATAAATGGTTTGTATTAAGTTAATAAGGCTTTAGCCACAATTCTGATATTGAAGACGTATATTCTAATTATCAAGTCATAAGTGATAATATAGCTGCGATGCCGGCCCACGAGCTCGAAACCCGTACTGAACTAGTGTTTGTATGGCCTACAAATAATAGATTATATGTGTATGGACGTTTTTCCATGAACAATTTATATTTTTTCTTTTTTTATAGGATAAGGGTGACATTATATATGTAAAACCTCTCCACGATACAGGAAATACCCTAGTGTGGATCTATCGTTAATATAAGAAAACGATATTATTATGATCATAAAGCTATCAACTACGCAGAAGGCTTTATTATGCCACAAGCACGCGCTAAAACAAAGGAACTCGTTTTGTAAATACACTGTCGCGTGCGTCTTAATTATAAGCAGGTGACGATTTTGGGGGGGTTTTAAAATGTACAAATTTTAACGTCCTTATTTAGTACATCAAAGAACATGCTTTAGTGTGATGTATCTATTATTGTCCGGTGTGTTTATTATCGACTTGTCAAGGTCACATTACTGGTCACATTAAAACGGGTTTATTCTTGAATAAACCTAATGCGTAGTAACCTTTCCAATACGTATTATGATACAAAAATATTCCAATACTTTTTTTTTATCGTCGCCGTCTGTTGAAAAAATCTCTAGTTTGTGGTAATTTGTAGTAAATTACCAAAATATCTGCTAAACGACCTAACGAAATAACTTAATTTCAGTATCTTCTAAATCATAAAGAGCTGGTTTCCTTTAAAACCAATAATGAACTCTTTCTCGTTTTTTATATCTTATAATAAAATTACTCAAAAATAGTACAATGTTTACTGCTAGTGAACCAAAAAGTACTTTTGTTTTTCATTATTTTTTTTTAATTTTTTTTTATTTATTCTTTAAATATGTGACTGTTATGTAAGAATAGAAAACTGCGGTTAAATAATTAATAATTTTGACGGGTCTGGATGTTTGTCCTCGTGCAATTTATGTTTATAAACTGCCTCCACGACACAGGAGAAAATCCGTGTAGTGGTAACGTTTTAAAAACATAAATAAAAGAAAGAACATCTACTATCACATCGTCTATCCTCGATAAAGAACCGAACTGCGGGAGCGTTATCATCACCCCTAAGTTCAGTTTAATATTATCAAAACACACAGTTTGAATTTTCACAAATTAGTACTGTCGCTTTTTCATTTCGATTTAATTTATAACCTAAGCGAAGATTTAACAAATGCGGGCTTAGATTCCTCGAAACAGTTCTCCTTACGATATACTCACAATGGTCCACAAGTCTCATTGCTGCAGAGGACAATTCATTTAATAACATCCGGTCTCCCGTAGATAACGACTAAATTCCCTAGACGCGCTATTCGTGAAACAAAACGAAAATGTAGGACTAGTCTGCAGTGCCCTGATTTAACGCCGCAATGTATATTGACTTTTGACTACGGAATTTTATGTAAAGCTTATGACCTAAAGATAGAAGATAAGACGTAGCTAGACGAATTATGTTTTTTTTATATAACTATAGGTTATTGTTGTAGTTAAAAAAGAAATGAAGTTGTAAATTTTAATACAAAAAGTCAGAACGATCTCCTCCCCCCGTAAACATAGTTTAACTTTCATAATTTTTGGAAATGTTGTAAATATAATGAAGAACTAGGTCCAAATTTTTATTTTAAAGAAATATTGGGTACGATATGAGTTATTAGCATCTAAATATATATTTTTGACTAAAAAAAAAACTTCATCAAGCGTTTTTTTTTAATTAAAAACATGCTGCAGCTATATTAGTAGCATAGTTGTAGCACGAATGGGTTGGCTCGACCGGGAAAGGACCACGCTCTCACAGAATACCAGCGTAAAATAGCAGCTTAACACTGCTGTGTTTCGTATGGTGAGTGTAGAGAACCGGAGACCCTTTTTACTGGAAAAGAGGCATTCCATCTTAGTTCTCACGGGTCACGACGCATCTGCATTTTGATTCTTTATTGAGGATAAATGTTTTTCTTTTTACTGGTATCGAGGCATTTTATCTTAGCCCTTAGAGTAACAGCACATTATATATTTTGATTCTTAATCAAGGATAGTTGTAGATGTCTATCGGCTACAGCCTCCACTTACCATCAGGTGGACTGTGTGCTCGTTTGTCACCCTATCCTATTAAAAAGAAACCTTAAGATTTGAACAAAACACTGCAAATAGGTAAGCGGGAACTTACCCAGATTTAAGAGGATTGCCGACCCATTCGTGCTACAATTATACTTCTAAATAGCTGCAGCATGGCTCTACCACGTATAAAGAAAGCCAGTTTAATTACTAAATTTGAGGAGTCCTATCTTAGTCCTCAGAGGTGACAAAGCATCTGTTTACCTTTTTTATTTGAAGTTGATTGCAGGTAACCAGTATTACCAAATGTTTGGTGAGCAGTATTACCAATGCGAAGATATAATCTCTGCACTTTCCAACCGCCTGCCAAACGCTGAGAGCAATAGCACAACTGCATTATATCGCATTAGTATATTCAGCCGTGAACTTACTATGTTTCTGTGTGATTTGTGGTATAAAATATATTATCTCGAGTAAAAGTTTGAACCTGGAACAGTGAACTGGGTTGTCAAGTGGTATATTTGTCAATTACATAAAACCATATTGTGATGGGGTCAAATATTTTGAACATACTGAAAAATGTATCGCTGACCAGGGCCCAATTTAATAAAAGTTACAATTTACAGTTTGTAATTACGATTTACATTTTACATTTTTACATATTTCTGTCCAATAAATATTAAATGTAACAAAATTTTCATTGTGGAAAATTTACAAAAATGTAGCTATATTTACCAGTGTTAGTACTTTTACAATTTTGTTGTTTTATTGAAGGGGACTTTACCACTTTACAAATATTTATGTTTGTAACTTTATTAAAAAGTATTTACTGTACAATTCGACAATTTTGTGAACTTTTACAAATTTGTCGATTTGTAACGTTTATTTAACAGTGGTAGAGCCACGCGGCAGCTTTTGCTGTCGCACGGATGGGCCGGCTCGAACCGGGGTGGTACCACGACCTCACAGAATACCAGCGTGAAGTAGAGGTTTACCTCTGCGTTTCGCTTGGTGAGTGCAGGTGGCCGGAGGCCCTTTTTACTGGAAATGAGGCATTCCATCTTAGTCCTCACGGGTGACAACGCATCTGCATTTTGATTCGCAAACGAGGATAGATGTAAATGTCTATGGGCCGCAGCAACCACTTACCATCAGGTGGACTGTGTGCTCGATTGTCACCCTTATCCTATAAAAAAAAATTAAATAGGGCCTAGTAGGTGTTACAGTATATAGGAGTGACATTCGACTTTTTTTTCTCTAACTGTGACGGATACCTGGCTAAGGTCACGCCATTCGCACGGCTTCGTGACTTCGCAAATTTGTTTAAGGTAATCTTAACGGTGTTCGATCGCGTTTAGAAATATGAATACCATTCGGACAACGGGCACGGCTCACAATAACAGATCGATTGTTTACCTCGACAGACAACGTTGACCGATTAGTTTCGATTCATTGACCGACATAGATATCTGTATTAATAATCGATATAACGGCTCCAAACGTATCGTTTGGATCGAAGCCGCTATCAAATATTTGTTCGAGTGTATGTTAAAAGTCAATAAATAAATAAATTTGACGATTCGTTGCACACAATAAAGCTTCTACGAAAAAAATGTGCGCTACTTGGCGAGTATAATTTATAAACGCTATTTTATGGACAATTTTCGATGTATTCCTGATGCCATGCAAATCTCAATTTTTATAGTGGTTCAAAATCAAAGTTAATAATTGCATTCATGAGTAAACATAAGATGA